GGGGTGTGTTTGGTGGATGCAGAATGTTCATTTTCTGTCAAAAAAGAAAACTTGCATTAGTTTCACTTAAACAAAACTTCAATATAGACAACTACATTAATGCTAAAAAGCAAATTGCATTAACTAAAAAACTCCTTAAACAAAAAAAAAAAATAGCAAATTCAAAGAATTCTGTGAAACTTTAGACAGACATTCAAATATTAGTTACATTTGGTCAACTATCAAAAAATTTTATAATAAAAATACGGATAGTAGACTTAAACTAGCATCAGAAAATGTTTGCAAAGATATGCTATTGGTTTTTTTTGTCTGTTCAAATTGATCCTTACTTCGTAATGCAAACTCCTCTCCTACATTAAAAAGAAATTTCTATGAATAAATTCATATTGTATTTCCAATTAAATAGATACTTCCCCAGGTGTGGGTAACATCTCCTATTCCATGATAAAACATTTACCTGATGAATGGACCGATATCCTTATAAATATCTATAACTCACCCCTACTTGGAAGACACAAATTATTCTTCCCATACTTAAACCTAAAAAACACCCAATTCAATAGAAAGCTATAGACCCATTGCACTCTCGTCATGTATAGGTAAAATATTGGAAAATAAAATAAAAAACAGAATAGAGTGGTTCATAGAAAACAAAAAAATACTTAACCCCCTTCAGATAGGGTTTAGGAAAGGCATGGGAATTTAGGATAACCTTATTTTTATCATTTCACACATACAGAATTCCTTCTCAGATAACTTACATCATTATCATCAATCAGCCCTGAGTTGTCCATTGTTGAACATAGGCCTCCTGTAGATTTTTCCATCTGCTTCTGTTCTGCGCCTCTGCTATCCAATTGATCACGATTCTTTTGAGGTCGTCAGTCCATCGCGTTGGGGTCTTCCTCGGCTTCGCTTGTCAGTCCGTGGTGTCCACTCAAGCAATTTTTTTGTCCAACTGCCGTCTTTTATTCTTGCAACATGTTCTGCCCATCTTCATTTTTGCCTTGTAATATGTTCGATAATGTCTTCCACTTCGGTTCGTCTACGAACTTCCTCGTTTCTTATTATATTTCTTGAGCATATTCCAGGCATTGATCTCTCCGTCTTTCGTTGTGTCCTTCTTAATTTTTCGGCTGATGTTTTTGTGAGGACTGGTAGAACGCATTGTTTAAAAGCTTTTCTTTTTAAATGGATCGGTATATTTATTTTAAATACGTCTCTCATTTTTCCGAATGCAGCCTAACTCAGACTTATTCTTTTGAGTAACTCGCATGTTTGGTTATTTCGCGTTAACCTTATTTCGTGACCCAAATACACATATTTTTCCACAAGTTCTATGGGCGACTTTTCGATTTCTATTAGCTCATTGGGGACGAGGTTGGTCATCATTTTTGTTTTTCCATAGTTTATCTTTAAACCGACTTTCTGGGTTACTTGCTGTAGTTCTTGTAGCATAACTCTGGCTTCTCCTAAGTTATCTGTTATGAGAACAATATTATCGGCATATCTGAGATGATTGAATATCTTTCCATCGATGCTAATACCCTTTGATTCCCACTCTAGCTGTTTAAATGCGTACTCCATAACTGTTATAAATAGTTTTGGCGACAAGGTATCTCCCTGCCACACCCCTATGCCAATTTTTATCTTCTCAGTCATGCAATGGAGGTTAACGGTTGTTGTCGCATTTTCGTATATATTTCGAATAATATTTACACACCTGTGATCTATTCTGCATTCTGATAGTACTTTTAAGATAGCAACTGTTTCGACTGTGTCAAATGCTTTGTGGAAGTCCACAAAGATAAGAGCAAGGGTCTGTTATATTCGATAGACTTTTCAACTAGTACTAATTACTAGATAAACTAATACTAATTAATTACATAACTTACATATGCTAGCAATTTTAATTGACATAAAATCAGCATTTGATCGTGTAAATGTACATCTTTTATATAAAATTATATTGAACCTCCAAATTTTAACAGATCTAGTCAACTTAACCTTTCAATTCATCAGTAATCGAGAAATATTTATTAAAGACGATAAAACCCGACTCGTAGGGCCATCTTTCACTTCCCAAGGACTTCCTCAGGACTCTCCCTTAAGTCAAATTTTGTTTAACATCTACATAGAATCCATATATAATTTAATACCAGATACTGTTACATTACTCTTATATGCTGATGATCTGGCTCTTCTTTTTAATAGCCAAAATCCTAGCTAAGACCCTTCCCACATAAATCATGTTTTATCTGATATTAATGAATGGTGTACCATCCACAACTTCCAAATTTCTGTAGACAAAAGTGAGGGCATATGGTTCTCAAAAAATCAACATTATGGCCATCTTCCAGATCTAACTATTAATCATAATATAATTCCTTACAAAAAGGAAGTGAAATATTTAGGTATCTTCCTTACCCACAACCTTTCGTGGAAAAAACATATTGATCACATAATAGGAAAATCAATCAACTCAATATCATAAAATCTTTTTGCAGAACTTGGTGGGGTACTGATCCATCCACACTACTTCAAACATATTATGGTCTTGTAAGATCACAACTAGATTTTAGGAGCATGCTTCTAAAACCAACCAATCAACAACTACTAAGAAAATTAGATACAGTTCAATTTAGAGCACTAAGAGTAGCTTTGGGTTGCATGAAATCAACTCCAACAAATGCAATATTAGCAGAAGCAGGGAATGATATTTGGAATTTAGATGTAGATGGTTATCAGCTAAACGTGTTAATAAAATTCACATCTTCCCTCGTCACATTCTCATCCCTTTACTTAAATATATCCGTATGAAAATAAAATTACACTTAAGCTTTTGGAATAACAAAAATATCCCATATATTATCGAATCTCTTAATGAAATTTAAAGATACATTAAAGATACACTTTATAGATCCGATACTCTTCCATGTTTCAAAATGGATGAAGAAACTCTTTGTTATCACACCCCTATTATCTTCCTTAACTTAAAAAAATATAATCAACCCAATCATTTTCTCAACAATGTAGCATTTAAAGCAGAAACAGTTTCTCTGGACAAGGACATTATCTTTGTATATACAAATGCCTCGAGATCCACTGACAAGGATGATTCAGTTAGAGTAAATCTTGGTCTCTACATTCCTATAATTAAATTTAGTTTCTCCACTAAACCTCCTCCCCTTATTACTATCTGTAATGTAGGGATTATGGCTATTGTCCAAGGCATCAATACCTGCATTAAAAAAAATTATACAACTGTATAATTTTTGGTGAATCCAAAAGTGCAATGGATAAGCTAAAACGTAAAAGCATAGGTGCCAAAGCTGACTATCTCTCTCTAGAGACTAAAAAATTACTAGTTGAATCCAATAACAACAAATTTAATCTTAGTTTGGCATGGATCCCGGGCCATAATGGTACTAAGGGTAAAGAACATGTTGACCTGTTGGCAAAAGTAAGAAGCTCAATAAACGTACCACTCAATATAAAAATTGATAAAAATGACAATTGATCATATCAAAAAATTCAACCTACCTTCCCTGACAATCCTTGGTTCAAACCCTTTCATTTTATCGATAGAAGACATTTTTAACAAACACAATCAGATTATGTACTGGCCATGAATTATTTGCTGCTCACCTGTTCCATATTAATGCAAGCCCACATTCTTTTTGTGAATACAGGCAACTAGGGGATATAGATCATATTTTTATTCACTGCCCAATTCATAAATCCAATAATTATGATTTCATTACTGAATTTATAAAAACAGAACTACAAATAGATGCAAATATGACTGACATATTAAAAAAATATTAACACAAATCAGATAGATATAATAAACAAATTTCTTTCCATAAACAAATGTAACATATAGTCAAATATTCCTTTTTCTTTTTTAACCTTCCTATTCCCGGGTATCTGTCCGAGGCAACTCGCTGGGTGTAGTGAAATGCTCTGCGTTGCCCTGGAGCGCGAAAAGTTTATTTTCCTATGTTGTAATTTGTTAAAAACTTACTCCCTCACCAAGAATAGACAGATCATATGAGATAAAGTTTGAAGTAAAATAAAACCTGAACATTGTAACATATTTGATAAATATAATTATTTAGTTTCAGAAATAAATCCACACTGTACAATTGCCAAGAGCAAGACAAAGTACAGTGTACCCAAATCTGCTGGCAAACGCACTTATTCGTAAGCCAATAGATAAGAAGAAGAAGAAGAAGTACATTAATTAAAGCAACGTGGACATTCGGAGCTGTTCAACCATATGACATAACCTCACCCAAGCCTGTCTAATCTTTCCGAAGTGTCTATTTTTCCGATGCAGAATTAGTAAATAATAATTACCATGATACTATAACTAACAAGATAGAATCTTTCCGTAGCACAAAATCGGTCGTGTTCGCGCATGCCGTCATTGGAGAGTAGAATTTGAATTCTTGTTAAAGTTAAATGGAATTTGTATGCATTCTGTGATGAAATTACTAGACGAAAATAAGTTAAGAGGTTTAATAATTACAATAATCGTACACATAAGGATATCTCCAAACTATTTATTAAAGATTATTTATTGATATAAACAAAAAACTGACATTACGAACGTGCAACTCTCCAATGACGTCACGACTTATGCGCAATATCTTATCTTCTTAGTCATAGTATCATGATAATTACTATAAAAAGATTCATTTAGTTTTAGCTCCTTTATTATTAATTTAAAACTTGCACTCACCAAAACGGCATTAAAATCCATCTAACTTTACGGAAAATGCAGTAATTTATTTCCTGGACTATTTATATATCTCAATATTTGTTTTTCAATTGATGAAAGTGCGTTTAGTTAAGTAGTTTTTAAATAGATAAAAATTTTTTTGTCTATATCATATAAGTTATGTCAGGCTTTAATTTTAATATTTCAAGATATAAATAAACACATATTTATAACCGGTTAATACTTTTAATTATTCAACTATTGCGATAAGTTATTATCTGCTACCACATTTTATTATTGTTGGTAATTTAAATTATTGCAAACAATAAATAGCGTGCAATTAATCTACCACCTACCATTTTGTGTTGCAAGTCTCCCTGATTTTCATAAAATATTATTTAAAGATGCTCCTCTTATATCAGAATGGTGCCCCGCCATCTCGGGCTGTACAATTGGTTGCTGAAGCGCTATCTATTAAGCTTACTCTGAAGTATGTGGATGTTTTAACCAAAGAACAATTTGCCCCAGAGTTCTTAAAGGTATTGTTTTTTTGCAAATATTTCTCAAGAGTTTCATTGAGTACTTACTTGTCATTTTAATTGCTTATATATGTCTTCAATGTAAAATATTTTTGATTTTTAGAAAAAATTTTTTTTTTTCATTTTTATAAATAATGATTTCAATATGTTAAAAAGGATACAATTTAAATGGATTTTTATATGAGTTTGTTGTTCATGAATTTCATGAAGCCATCACAATGTGGGGTCGACTCTGAAATAAAAGAGAGAAAAAGATTAGTAAATTGTTAAATAAATTAATTTTGAAATAGGTAAAGAAATAATAATAAGACTTACTCACAATCAATTTAATTTAACAATCTGACGACCGGTTTCGCTTTCTACAATTTGCAAAGCATCTTCAGGTCGAGATACAAAGTTAAACTAATGCTGCAATAAAATAAACCCAATTAGGGTGGTGTCTCATAAAGATAAATAAACAAATAAATTAGTTCATACAAATTATAGTAATTATGCCAATATTACATGTCTGTGGTTTTCAAAATGAATAATTTGAATATATAAAAGGTATTAATAGACAAGGTAAGGCTCACAATTGGTATAAAGTAGCAATCTTATATTGTAATAAATTAATAAATGAGCAAATAAATAAAACAAAACAAAACAAACATTACTTACATGCCGGTACTCTATTAATTGATGGATGGTAGGTCATGGTTGCAAAAATCATGTATTGTTGATTGGAGAACTTTAATGTGCTATTGCAGTTGTTTTGACAATAAACGGGAAGTTCTTGAGGAGAACAGATTTGATCCAATGAATTAGAGATAGGTATATTGTGGTTGTTTGTCAGATGAAAGTGATGTTCTTTACTATTGTATTATTTAAATTATTTACACTTATATCAGAGATATATTTTTTGGAATGTGTGTTATTTATTGAGTATTTATGTAATGAAGGAGACAGTTTTATGACAATGAATAAGAGTAGCTGTACCGATTGTGTGGTTGTGCAATTTTTTGACTTGTAATTATCAAGTCTATTGGCAAAATTAATAAATTATTGTAAAGTCAACTATGTAAAAAGGTATATAAAAAGTATATAAAATTATTATAAATTAAGAACGATCAGGGACAAATTAAACACACATTAACAGGAAACAGAAACACTAAATGACGGGACAAACATTGAATTTAAAACTTAAACTTGGGGGATGGAAGAAACTGTAAGCACTACATCTCACTGTTGGAAGAAATGAGTTTTTTTCATATTTAATCTATTAGATTTAAGAGGTAAATTTGACATATGTAGGTTGAAGTGTGACAGTTCTTCTTCTATTACTAAATACTGTAAGTTTAGTTATTCAGTATTATGGAGTATGTTGATATTAATGAATGTATCAAAATTTGTTTTAATTTAGAAATCAAAAGTAAATTGATGTTTTTAATATTGGCATACTTTAACAATTTTAATTAATAAGTTTCAAATTCAAAAATTATTTAAGGTAACAATGTGAATAATTGAAATACATCATTTGTTATAACTAACCAATTTTAGTCTAAATATTTCAGAACAAATTAAAATGATTATTTAGTAAATACAAACAAGTGTACTTGTAATTGAAAGGTATAACAAATTTACAAATTGCCTGAAACTTTTTTATTTGAAATAATTGTCGGTCTGAGCTATCTATTATGGTGTATGAACATTTCTTAAAATATTTAATTTAAATTGTAATAATTAATAATTAAATAAAGTAGTAATTGGGTGAATATTGATGATTATTCAAATTTTGAATTCGAGTAATTGACTGACTTAAATCTTGAATATTTCAAGTAATGTTTGTTTTGTTTTGTTTTATTTATTTGCTCATTTATTAATTTATTACAATATAAGATTGCTACTTTATACCAATTGTGGGCCTTACCTTGTTTGTTAATACCTTTTATATATTCAAATTATTCATTTTGAAAACCACAGACATGTAATATTGGCATAATTACCATAATTTGTATGAACTAATTTATTTGTTTATTTTATCTTTATGAGACACCACCCTAATTGGGTTTATTTTATTGCAGCATTAGTTTAACTTTGTATCTCGACCTGAAGATGCTTTGCAAATTGTAGAAAGCGAAACCGGTCGTCAGATTGTTAAATTAAATTGATTGTGAGTAAGTCTTATTATTATTTCTTTACCTATTTGATATGCACTCACACAAGCAACACATTCATGATTTGAATAATGCAAAATTAATTTTGACTTACCTGGTATAGTGTTAATAATTTCTGAATAGTATAGTTGCCTAGTGTATAGGTGAATCGTCTAAACCTAAAAAAAAAGAAGAAGAATTCTTAAAAAATATTTAAACATAGAAATTTTAAAAAATAAATGAAGGAAATTTATTTAAAGTGTCAAGCAAGTCTGTGGGAGCTAAATTAATAGGGGTTTTGTTAAATAAGAAATTATAATGATGTGGAGATGAAAATGAATAAATTGTATTATTAGAATAAGTTTTATATCTGAACATATTTTTTATATTCCCAAATAAGATGTGATTAAAGTGATTATGAGAAATTAATGTGCTTGACAAATGTGTCAGAACAGGACAGTTTTATGGTTTAAATAAATTTTAAATAGAAGACGAAAAAAAGAAAAAAGAACGTTGGTTGCGGTTAGCAACGGAGAAGATATTTTGGAGATGCCGACGCTAATTTTAGACCTCTTGCCCCGAAACTGTGGAATAGGCCGGGAGTGTTTTCAACTCGTCTGATTAAAATTTAGTTTTTCCACAGTTTCCAGTGTTTTGGAAGAGCAGAGATATCCACAATTTGTTCCAGAGAGTAAGAGAAACAATTTGAGTTATAAATTATTATTGGAGTACAGAAATTTCATTGAGATTGAGAAAATTAAAATTCATGAATTAACAGAATTGCGATAGGCCTTATAAATTGAAAAATATTAATGATCATTAAATTAAAACTAGAGTAGTACGTACCTTAAATTCCGAAGAGAGGATTGATATTCCAGTTTCACCGATTATTTTGCGAGAAGTTAGTTTTCTTTAAAGAAATCAGAACTGTTTTAAAGTGAGGTTGGATAATAATTTAGAGGATCATTTGTAATTTTGATTATATTTGAATGCAAGTTGAAAGTCAGCGGAATAAAGTGTTCAGTTTCTTTTTCTTTATAGTTCATTTAAACACTTTATAAAGTTGCAATATTTATTTAGATTTCAGGTACTTGTAGAAAGTCTTCACATTTTGTAATCGATTTTTAGTGTCACGACACTAAACCATATTAAGGTTTACACAATTCCTATTTTTGTAAATTTTTATAGGCAACCCAAGTTGCAAACGAATTTTATTGTTCAAAATAAATTTGTTCAATATTAATAAATAACGTGCTTCATTTGGGTTAATTTATCAAAAGTCTAAAGTAAATTTTGGTTTAATTTCTGTTTGAACTCTACCAGGAGACTACAGAGTCAACATCACACAGTGACAGATTGCTAAGAACACATAATTGAGCTATCCGAGGTATATTAAATTAAACAACGAACAACATACTTTAAAAATACAACATTTATTATCAATAAAAATAAAATTAATAAAACATAACCTTTTCAATATATAATATTTTGGAAACCAGAATATCAAATATAAATATATAGATATTATTTATATATTTATATTTGATATTCTGGTTTTCAAAATATTAATATTAACCTTTTTTCATAGTAGTTCTAGTTTTTAAGATAGTTGGTGAAAACAAGTTGATATTAGCTTTTTATAGAATGAAAACAAGTAATATTTAACATCTACTTTATGACTTGCCAATAACTATTATGAATAAGGAAATATGAATAATTAAAAATATACCATTCGTTACTCAACCCCAAAGAATTTTCTGTTAAGTATACAACTTTCTAGTATGTTGGTGTCCTGAACAATATATTTAAAGACGGCAACAACAGTAGACCATTTTCCTTTGGATTTTCTGGAAATCGATATAAGTGACTGTGAAAGTATTAAACTTTATTGCTAACAATTCAAAACATTATAAAAAATTAAAATTAGAAAAAGTACATTCATAAAAAAACATTAGTTTTAATTTTAAGTCTTGTTTTGATTTAACTATTGTTTTTGTTAGAACAAATACTTGTTCATGTACTGTGGCCTGATCATGGGCATATATTGTAAGTATCCAAATAGGTAGCTAAAAAATTTAACAACAATAAAAAAACTACTTAAGATTGGTAGTATTGAGTCATCTTCTATATATAAGTTTATAAAATTCGTTACTATCTATCCAGGACTATATATTGTTTTTCGCTTTGTTGGGATGTATTATTAAATAACATATGTACTAACAATATCCTCACTTATTGTCTCCCATTTGTTTCTGATTTCTGAAATTTTGATTGTTTGTATTATTTACTATGTTGCATGTTAGGGTTAGATCAGTTGTTTATTTTGGATTCAAAAGAGCCTTTTCTAAGTCAATAAATAAAAATTTGAGACGGAACTCATAGAAGCTACAAAAGTCCTGTATAAAGAAAATAAAGTGTCCATTAAAGTGTCCACCACAACAAAAAGGGCTCCTGCAGAGTTTTTCCACATCTTCAACCGTATTCAAAATATACTTAGAGAAAGCCTTGGCTACATGGAAAAGAAAATGCGAAGGCATAGGAGCACCGGTACGGAACAAATACCTATATCATTAAGCTTTGCAAACGATCAAGTAGTGATTGCACAAGAACAAGACGACCTCAGCTATATGATTAAGAAGCTACAAGAAGAATATACCAAGGCTGGCGTAGGTATTAACCTCGTGAAAACAGAGTACCTATCTACAAGTGAAGAAGAAATAGAAGATTTCTAGATTGATGACAATGTAACAATAAAAAAAGGATAAATTCAAATACTTGGGTTTATAATCACGAAAAAGGAAACAACAGAGGAAGAAATTAGACAAAACTTATAGTCCAGGCTGTGAGGCCGCTCCCGTTGGGAAAATG